CATCCCTTCTATATTTCTTCTGGAGTGGCCTAACAGTACATATAATATCATTCTGTCACTTATTAGTCACCTTGTCCGAACAAGATTTTCAAAGCCGAAGGAATGAAGGGGCCCTTTTCAATTGACCAAGCTTTCTACTTCTTCATGACGCTGCTCCCTGACACCCTCCAATTTAATTTCGAGTCTGTGGTCCCCTTCTTTCAGAGATTCATGGATTTACAGATGATGGGATATATATGCTGTCGCCCTGATCGTATATATATATTTTTTATGCCAGTTGAATTACATGCACTTTTTTCCTGTTTTTAAACTATTAAATTTAAAATAAATAAGCTTATTTTGATGGGGCTTCCATAAAGTTCATCAACACAATAAACTCTGAAAGCGAAGCGCTTTTTAATTGGAATGTTTATGGAGGACTCAAAAGGATCCCCTTCGTCTTTAATCAGCATGCAATCGTCAAAAACAAATATGGGAGATGAGTTTATGTGCAAGATCCAGAGAGTCAACAACTGTGAACCCTACATATTGGGGTCATGAAAAGGGAACAATCTTTAGTGACAGTTCAGAAAGGAGAATACACACACACACATATAGAGGCTCCGAATTAATTAAGAGTGACGGTGTCATGTTCTGAAGGGCTTATTTATAAGTTATGAAATTCATAAAACAGTATTCTATTAAATAGCCCCACACTATTAATTAATCCCCATCCCCCTGTGTCATTTCTAAAAGAATAATTTGATCCAAAATATAAGTCATTTAAAAAGTAATTAATACTTATTTAATAAATTTTGTTCCTACAATTAGTACTTGCAAATGTAACTCCTTATATTTTTCTCTCTCCTTCATAATCTCATTTAATATAGACAAAATTTAAAAAAAAAGTAATTTAAAAAAGGTTTAATAAGTTAACTACTCCTTTTTTTTTAAAATTCTAACAAATTAGCTAAGATAATGTATTTTGTGGAGCGGAGAGAGTATCCAAGGTCACTCGGCCTTGACTGTTGACTCCGAACTCCCAGGATAATCGGAGGCTTCCATGTGAATATTTACGTTTTCTCTGCAATGTTGAAATGTTCCGGAGCGCTGACGCTGACGGACTGAGGAATTAATATTAATATTATCCTCTATATTCACACATATTGGAGAAATAGTACTATTTCGAGATTAAAAAAAAAAGAGTACTATTTCGGTAAAGTTGAAGAAAAAATTAATGTATTTCGCTTAAGCAAGATCATAGGTCAAAAAATCATATCGATCTAAAATGCCATTCTATTGTGAACATAATAATACTTGAATCCAGAATAATCAACATCCCATATATTAGATAGTTATATAAATGCTTTTTTTTTTTGGCCAAAACTAGATATGTTGGTATGAGGGCACATGTGCGTATTTTTCCAGAATAAAAGTAAAAAAATTGATGTACTCAGTTTATTTATCCCCCTCTGCAAAGAGATCCTGTCCCTCTCTTAACGTGAATATTTGACCTCTGGTCATCAAATTACTCCGACATCATGCTCAACCCCAGCCGGGGAAAAAAAAAAAAACATTGGAACATCCTCCCATTACAAAAGGAAACATCACTGATCCCAGAATGACAGCTGTCCTTTTTTTTTTGGGGTACGAAAAGACAGCTGTTGCAGTAGAAAATGTTTGAGCGATGAGACCCATTGACCCAATTGTTCTTTTGGGATATTGGGCTCGATAAATTGGGCCATATCATTGTTCAAACATTCTTTCACGAATAAAAGCCCACATGCACCTAAAAAACTACAAGCCCACCCCGCATGTTACCGTTGGAAACTGAATCTCTGATGACCGTATGCCGAAGTAGTTGACTTGGAACGTTTATTATTACTCGCAAATGGTTCCTTGACATCTGCAAAGTGCCGAATATGGTGGCCATTTTACCCTCTCTTTTTTTTGCCAATGTGCTTTTATTTTATTATGACTTGGATAACGGGGCAGTTTTTTTTTTTTTTCCAGCATCGATTACAGCATAAAATGTACTTTTTTTTAATTAAAAAAAAGTCTATAAATCAATTTGATTGAAAAGAAGAAAAGAGCAGTTATTTTCTCATTACTCATGCACACAGCTCCATAATGTGTAGGTGGAGTTGGAGGCTGACCACACCTTCCCACCTCTTTCCCTTTTACCTTTCAGTTTCTCTAATTACAGATTAAGAACGGCCGTTAATTAATACTTCATTGACCATTTGGCTTCATCCTTCACGTGCACCTCTTCTTAAAGCTAACAAAGTAGTAATTTTATATGCTGGTACTTTGACTAAAAGCTCATTTAAAGAATTTAACTGACATGTTTAAAATGAAACTCGATAATAAAGTTAATAGTTGAAATAAAATGAAAAAAAAAAACTAAATATATATCTGTTCCTATATAAAATATATTACATGCGAAATGCTTAATGAAGAACTTGCTGGATCCTGATCATCATTGTGTGAAGAGAATAGCCACAATCTTCTCCTTTTTACCTATTTTTAAATGTTGTCTCTGTTCTTCCACACCCCCCCCCCCCGGGCGATTAATTAACAAGCAAAGGCCATTAGGTCCATAAAAACTTCTTGTCTGTGCTTTATGTCGGTTCCATTTATAATTCCACTTTCTGGGACAGCTTTTGTTCTCCCACGACCACGTTCAGCTAATCATCACCCATCAAGTGTATATTAAACTAAGGTCTTATTGGAATGATTGCTGTCTCAGATTCAAGTAATAGGAGCCCACTGGAAGACATGTACCAATCGAAGTCTACAGTTTTAAAGCCTTTTCTTCCCATTATATTCTCTAATCACACTAATCAATTATCAGAGTGGCCCGTGCAATATTGAACAACACTACAACTCTCAGTGTCTTTTCATAAAGCAAATGTTAATAACACAAAAATATGGAACAGTTATAACTTGGCCCTTGACTAAAATGGCTTTATTATGTGCTATATCGGGGCAGTGGGCTCGAAGGATATTATATTATATGGTAGTGTTAACCAATAAATTCAACTATGGCTCGACTGTGGTTATTATAACTCATGGTCCATCTCTTTCAAGTAATTTTGAAGTGACTTCTTAACGCATGATTAATGCCACTCACACTAGTGAAATTTTATGGCACGCACCTGGTTTAATTTCTTTTTTCGAGGATTTTCCCTCCTTGAGATGATACGTTTAATTCTGATGTATAAGATAAAGTGGCGAGAAAACCCTGAAGATCTGCGGGCGTGGGTCAATAATTAGCAATCCGCTGTGTGTAGCAGGATTGTTATGCTTCCCATTGAGGGTTTCTATGTATGCATGGTCCCCCGAATGTATGGCCTATAGACTCAACAATTAAATTGTTGAGAATAATATTATTGTCACGGCATATATCTACAGTGGCGTATATTCATGCTCTTGTTTCTTTCCTAGCTTGTCTCCTGAACTCTGGTTCACTTCTACAGTGCCTCCTTCGAAGATCACTGGCCACCTTCAAATTATTATTTATTTAACCATTAATAGCTCACTAGCTAGGCATGCGACGAAACATTGATTAGTGATTTAAAGTCAACTGAAACCTAAAAGAACGTTGGAGCTTGCACCGTACTCGACTCCCACAAGATCATGACACGGCAGCACTACTGATGCACATTATATTGTTGTTATTACTGGTATTACTATTGTTATGATCACTATATCATTTTCAAACTACTTATGTTTATGCACTCCGATCCTTATTTAGTGCATCAACGGATTTATCAAACGAAAGCATGCTTTCAAAACCTGGGCAAGACTGAGTAATCAGAACTGTTGATGTCTTGCAGTTAATTTGTTGGAGGGAATTAGATTTGCCTGGCAGGAAATTAATTAATAAGTAAGGGGCCAAAAGGCAAGGGGGAAACCTCCGACATTACGTAAAGATTAAGAAAATCAGAAATTTTGACCGAAAAACAAGGCACTCCAAACGTAGCTTGGAAAAGCAAAAGGGCGTTAAAAAGTATAGAAAATTGCCTATAGAAGTACTCGTTCCACGCTCATAGTCATTCATCAGTAGGATGCATTGGGTAACATACACTATATGCCTCAATAGGATATACGCTAAGGTGTCTCTATTTCTTGTGATGGCGAAGATCAAAACTGGCGATGTTGCCTGTGCGTTCAATCCAGGGGACACTTTGTCTACTTTCGTGGATACAAAATCATAGTGTATTGATATTACAATCAGATTAGAAAACTAATGTTAGGTGAATCTGCCTCTTAAATTATAAAGCTAGGCTAAGAGTGGGTCCATTAGGTACTCACCCTAAGGTCATTGTGCTTGCATATAATGATAATAATAGCATCCCTTGTAAGATCACACCAAAGGTGTCTCATCAATAACCCCAAGAGAAATGCAGTCTAAACATGTTAAGCAACAGGAGCAGCGTGTCCACTTTTGACTTCATCAGTTCGTCCGTTTCCAAATTTTCGCACCATTAAAGAGAAAAATAGTAAATTAAAGGACCAAAATTTCAGCTATATGATTAGTTAAGGCTCTTCTTGATGCCCCCCTTTTTTCCCTTCTTATCAGCTGAAGAAATAGTTTACAGCTAGATTTTAGAAGAGCGTCCCTTGGGGACGAATTCGTTAATAATATCATCGTTTCCATCCAAAATAACTCAAAATAAACGTGGATGTTAAGATGGGATAAAATATATTTGTGCTTGTCAGGAGCAATAATGCACCAGTCCAAATTAACCTAGAGAGGGAGATTCCTTCAATCGGGGTTGTCATTTAAAAATTCAACGAAGCGTGTGGTTTTTGTTAGAAAAAGATCCATTGAGCGAGGCGGAGGAGGGAGAGAAGGGAAGAGACAAGGACACCTCATTATTCAAAAGCATGCATCATTATTGAACTTTGACACAAGGCAAAGAATGCTTAATACTTTATTAATTTAAGAAAATCCCTAGCTACTTTGTAGGCTTCCTCTTTTGGTTCTGGCTATCTCTATTATTGCAGTTCACATATAATCAACTGCTATATTTTTCTTCTCTGCAAAAGTTAACCACCGCGTCCTCACTTGAGTAAGCACAGCGACTCACTCAGAAGAAGAGATAGAGGAAGAGAGAATATGCTAGTCTGCAAAAATTTTAACTAGACTCGGATTGAACCCACAAACAGAAAAGGCTACTTTGATTGCCTACCGACATAGGCACATCAGTTATGGTAAGCTTCCTCGTTGACACTCATCAGTATATACAGAACTAATCAAGAGAAGAGCATTCCTTGAGGAAAACAAAGAGACTATTTATAGGAATTAGAGGCTTGCTAGTTCCTCATCATCCTGAGTGCAAGCTGATGGAGCTCACCCAAATCATTGTTATAAGATCTCCTTTTAGGGAATGGAAATTCCTCTCTACTTCGTATGTCTTGCATGTTAATTCCATCACCGATGTTGTGGTCAATTGACTCGAGAGAGCTCTGAGGAGATATAGGGTTCGTGTTGTATGCATTCATTGCTTGATCGCTCACAATGTTATGATTCCCTGCCGACAGGTTCTCTAGTTTCCTGCTTTCCATTAGGTTCTTCTGCGCTAGTTGAGCCTTCACTTGCATCAGCTGTGCCTGCAAGCACGCCACCTACATTCACCAACAAACAATTAAAAAAAAAAACTTTAAGAAGGAGGCCGAAATCAATGACATAAGATCAGTGACAAGAAACTTTGCATATATTGGAAGATGATATATAGTATCAAATAATATTCTTGGACTGGCTCGCGGAGCTTCACATAAGCATAATGAGAAAAGGACACGGGTAAGGTTGATGAGTGACCTCATTTGCTTGCTTTGGAGTATGCCGAGAAGCAAAAGGGAAAAAAGATGAAAGATACTTGAAAGAGTTAAACATGCAGAGCTACGTACCTGTTGCTGCAAGGCAAATATGTGAGCGACACAGCCATAGACAGGGTCTCTAATCCGAGCCTGGGCTTCATAAGCAATAGTGACGACGGCCTCACAGCGATCACGAGCTGGTAGATGCAGGAGCAATTTAGAAACATTGCTAGCCCCAAACACCTTATGAATGGCAGCAAATCTAGCAGGGCCTTGATCGGAGCAGAAGTAGGGCGCAAATATGCAATCGGCGGCGCACTTCCTTCGGAGGAACTTGCAAGCCCCGCAGGGAGAACCAGAACCAGAGGCAGGAGAAGCCATGGATGAGAGAGAAAGCGCGTGAGTGCGAAAAAGAGAAGTGGGAATAAAATTTTAGGCACACGAGCACACTAGAAAATGGTGCAGGAACAAGGGAAGGAGATGATGGCGAGGAGGAAGTGGGACATTGGGAACAAGGGACATAAAGGAAGAGGGAGGCCTCTTATAAAGAAATGAGAATAGGGGACACGGCAGGCTCGCGTGTAGGGTTCCACGGCGACATTTATTGATGGCAAATGCAATATGCCACTAGTTTTTTTAACGCCTTGGCCCGGCTCAAGTGTGATCGCATTTCCTGAAAGAAATATAATTCTAAAAATCATTTTCCTGTGACTAGAAAAATAAAGAAATGGTATTAGTAGTAGTATTATATAACGTAAGTGAAAACGTAGAGGTCTCTTGTTGGCAGGGAAAAAAAAACAAGAAAAGAAAAAGAAGACGCAGAGGTCATGGTTTTGAACAAGAAAAGATATAGAATGAGAAGCAGGGGTGGGATAGAGATAGAGTTTTGCATATTGTTTGGAAGCGTAATGAATAATGAATTAGTATTTTAGCGCCGAACGCCGCACCTGGGAACTGCTGCTCTTTGTCGTTTTTCTGAAGAAGCTTAGTCCCACAAACCGCCACCTGCCAGTCATTTCATTTTGAGCTCTTTCAATTTAATAATACTGTTCATCACTGTTCTAATTGCGCTTTCGGAAAACAAATTACAGCTAAACTGTCGTTTGGGGAGTCATGATAGTGATTTCATTTCATTTTAATTACACCCCTCCCCCGGGGGGCGCCCCAGTTGTTTCCCTGTGCTACTTGTTGCACCTGACCATCTCGTCACATTGAAATATTAATGTGTCTCTTCAATTGAGTAAACTATTAATAATATGCGGTTTCTTTTATGATTATCAGGATTTTCAAGCATTTTGCAATCTATTTTTACAAAAGATTTTTTTTTTTTTTAACAACAGAGCCGCGTCCATCGTCTCAGTACGAGATTGTGTGCTCGCGTAATAAGGGCCTGTTTGGGTATCCCCAAACCGTGGTTTCAGAAGCACTTTTCCGCAAAATGAGATAATCTCCTCCACATATTTACTTCGTAATCCGTAAAAGCACTTCTGAAATCATGGTTTGGTTTCTATCCAAACATACCCTTAGAGGAAGATACTGTCACGTTTTCTCATTTAAAAATTTATTAAATTTAGAAGTGTGATTAAAAAAAAGTCTTTGTTTCCTCATAAGACATATTTATTACAAAATATTGTAATAGTTCTATACATAAAATCTATTTTATAATTTTTTTACATTAACACTATTGATATTCTTTTAATAATAATCAAGTAAAAAAGAGAAAAAGAAAATAAAAAAAATGTTTAGAGTATTTTAAAAAAAATTATATTAATTAATTTAACTAAAATCTAAAAAAGTGAATCTCACGAAAAGTATGGAAACCTAAAGGGGCTGAGAGACCAAGTTTGGCAAGAATATCAGCTGCAGTGTTGCAAGATCGAGGAACATGTTCAATTCTGATCTCCCATTCACGAGCAAGGAAGCTCTGAGTTTGTATCCAATTTTAAATAGAGATCATCTTTAAAAAAAAGTATAATTAATATTTCCACAGAAAATACTAGTTTATTTCTTTTTAAAAAAAACCGTTCTAAGAATTCGAAAGTCAACACCTCGAAATCAGATCATATGTCATCGAAATTAACGCAGCAAATGAAAGTTATAAACGAGTATGTCTTGCGCTTAAATAAAGGTCGGTTGCATATATGTTACCCCAAAAAAAGGAAAAAAAAGGTCGCTTGAGCAAAAATTCTGAGTTGGCAGCGGTGCCCAAGCCCAACAGGCCATGATCATAGGGAGTATATGCTACACGGAGGCCCTTCATAAAAGCAGAAGAAAGAAACTGAACCTTGAGATTGCTCCGTCATCCTTGACTAAGAAAATTGGCCATTTATTTGAAGTACATCGGAGAAGCCTAATATGCCATCATCATTGATCCTTAAAGAGCGGCCCATAAATGTTCATCACCGGCAATCTTTTCCACCAAGAGATATTAACGAACCTGATTGATGTGATGGGCAGGAAGCGACATCCATTTTTCATGTATATCCATCCGATCAGCCAACGCATGACATAACATCTGATTCTGATCTATTGTGCCACCAATTAATATCACCCAAACCCACATATGAGATTTTGTGCATTGATGAAATCCCTAAAATCTTCTACCTGTATGGCAATGACAAGCTTCTGCATCACAATATGACCTCAAAGTTCAATGTGAAAGCCATTCTACACCAGATAAGTGGACATGTGTCGTCAAGTTCCTATGGATTTCCCCTGTAATACCTGTCTGCAGTCTGCAGATTTATCTAGAACAAAAACACCACACAGTGAATTTTGAATGGGGATTTAGCAGGTGTAGCTATATTCAGAACATGTGTTTTTGCTTTAGCCCTCTGCCCTGTATCTGACGCCATCCTTCTTGACAACCACCCCCGGGGGGGGGGGGGGGAAGAAACGTCGCGATGTATGTCCAAACATCGATTGCAAATGACTTGCTGGGAAGCATTTCAGATTCGAAGGCTCTGAGAAATTATAATCTTTTAATCAACTAACATCTTGCTATGCTCGGTTTTGCGGGGTGAAGCATTTGAGCAGTTTCCTCTGAATTCAAAGTATTTCTTTTGTAGATATTGAGATTTTCATCAACATTGACAAATCCAACTTCAAAATATCCCTCCTAAGTTGAGTGGCTGGCTAATTTTTGGATTTAGCCCCCGGGGGGGGGGGGTTCTCATCAATATTTGGCGTCACCCTAAATCCAGCAAGATTTCTGCTAATCCACCATATGATTGGCTGTAATATTTGATAGTCTTGACTTCATCAAAGTCAGAATCAGTCATCAGAATTTGAGAAGTCAAACAAAAGAAAACGGGTATAATAATCTAGGAGAGCAAATAACAGAGGAGAGCTCGCATACTCTTCAGATTTTCAAGACTTCTGACACGAACAAGTGCAACTTGACAATACTTAGATAATTAAGTGTCAAAATAATCTCATTTGATCTTTTCAACGATCATTGAGATATACTGAAGGAATATAGCAAGAACCCTGATGCGCATCAGGAATATCCATTGATCAACAGTTAGCAGTACTAGGAGTGCAAGCAGTTTTCTGTTTCCTTAAAACAACTCATCATCTCATTTCACTGCAGGGAGAATTCCGTATATATAAATTTTGGTGCTTCCCTAGGAAAGAATATAATCAAAACTGAGAAGAATCAACCTATTTTTTACTTCAATTGAGGCCAGGTCACGACTCTTGAGAAGCAACTCTCCAGTCTTTCTTATCACTGTATTTCCCGCCATTTCCCAATTAGGAGCTTCAACAAGTATGTTTAACAGTGAAATATGCAAGGATGACGTATTACTAGGCTCTAGAATGAAAAACCTCTTTGCTAATTCTTCGGTTAGTTCATCTCGTTGATGTATTCTACATGCAGTCAATAGAGCTGCCCAAGCTCTAGCAGCAGGGCTTATTGGCATGTTGGATGAGGCTGCCTCAATTTGACCAGCATTAGCTAACAGATCTATCATACAGGCATAACGTTCCTTTGTTGGAGAAATGACATAGTCCTCCATGGAATTAAAAATCCTCCATCCCATTTGAACCATTCCAGCTAACAGCAGAGAGAAGTGAGATAATTGTTCTGATCTCATTTTATCAAAAGTACTAAGAACTTCCAAAGATAAGCCATGCATTCCAAGTCCATTTATCCTTGTAGTCCATGAGGCTACATTTTTTTCAGGCATCATAGGGACGATTCTGTGAGCTGCTTCAACACATCCACGTTTAGCATACATGTCTGTCGGAGAAGTATAATTTACCACATCCAGGTCAACCCTGTTTCTAATCACAAAACCATGCGCATTCTTGTCTTTGCTTCAAATAGAGCCCCAGACCTGAGCAAGTACGAAGGATGCTGGACAAGGTTACCGGATTTGGAGCGACTCAGTTTCCCAACATCTGTCTGAACAAGGACATAGCTTCGAAAAATCTCCCTTTTTTAGCATAACCATCTATGACAGTGCTCCGTAGCACCACGTGCTTATCATTATCTTCTTCAAACACTCTGACCGCGTGCGAAAGAAACCCACATTTCATATACATATGGACAATGGACGTCTGCAACTGCAAACAGGCATTAGCCAAAAGATTATTCTTCATACACAGCCCATGAGATGCTTTCCCTTCGCTTTCCCTGCCAAGACATGCGAACATGCTCGAACCAGACCCACCATTGTAAGCGTACCCTTGGAAAATTAGGATGATGAGTCATATTAAAGCATAACACAAACATTTTGGGCTCTTGAGAAAACTCCAAATACACTTTGATCGTCAAAACCCAAATGACAGAACTTCTGTGAGAAAATTGTTCAAATAACTTGTGGGCAGTTCGGCGTGCATCTCTCGAAGCTTTCGAGGAATAAAGCTTCCAGAGAACCCACTTCGCATCCGACTAAAAAGATATAAAACATCGTCATAAAATTTGAACTTGAAGTAGCCGGAGATGAGGGTATTCCAGGAATAAAGGTTCTTGGCCGTGTTTTGAAGAAAAGCTTTCGAGGCTTACAGAAGAGAGCCCGATTCGACATAGGCATTGGTGATGGTGGAACCGTAGAGGACCTCTTTCCGAAGACCGTTGACGATGATCCGTGCATGAAGTTACTGCATGAGACGGCGAGCGAGAGGATTTTCACATAGCAGAAAACGGAGAGAAGGATTTTATCGTTTTAGCCGGGTTTTGAGAAACCATGGGAGGGGCGCATGTTATTCTGTAAGGGAAGATGAACCACCGTTAGAGAGGTAAGTTACAGTGGAATTTGGAAACAAGGACCTATTTATAGTTTACATTTATTTGAGATATCAAAAAATAACATAAATTTTACAATTTATATTTTTGAAATAAAAAGTGGAGATAAAGTTAGATTAAAATATAAAAAGAAATTGAGTTTGAATAATAGGGTTAAGGTAGATCCAGCATCTTGAAGTATTTTTTCACGTGCATCCAATACCCTAAAATATTTTGTGGTATATTCAGCACCTTGAAGTACT